ACCCGGTCCTCTCTCTCTCTCTCTCTCTCTCTCTCTCTCTCTCTCTCTCTCTCTCTCTCTCTCTCTCTCTCTCTCTCTCTCTCTCTCTCTCTCCCCGTACATAAATAGCCATGAAGAACCGCCCAGTAAACCATTGATGGAAAGGGAAAAGGACAAAAAACAGGGGCTGTCTCACACTGTATCGTCGGATTTTCACTGACTCATCAGGAGCCGTCGACAGTCTGAAGAGCCTTTGTTGCGTTGGACATATTCAAACTAAACGATCACCTTCCCACACCAGATGCAAGACTGTTCAGACCTCTTGTTCCCCAATGTATTACTAGTATGATGCACACGCTGCCTCTTCTGTCTGATCCTAATGCCGCTCTGACTCTCACACACAATTCTTGCCCTTCCCCCCTTTTCCCTACCCAACCTCTCTCCCAATTAACCCCCCCCCATCCCGTCACCAATCCCTCTTTCCCTCCCTTCATCTATGCAGATATTGCGCGTGCACGCTCTCTCCCGCTCTCTCCATTTGCAAATCTATCGAGGATGACCCCACTGTTCCTGGATCCATCTTAACCAACCCCCCCTCCCTTTACATATCCGAACACTCACCTTCCATCTTCTCTCTTCTTCCTGCTCTGTTTTCTTCTCCCAAAAACACCCCTCCGACTATCCTCACTCTTTCCTCCTCTGCCCCAAAACCCACCTCACCCTTCGCTCGCCTTCCTCTTCCATGAACAGATGCAAGTAATCCCAAACGAACAAAAAAAGTAGGTGTAAGATGGTTCAACCATCGACGTCGAATAGCTAATTTATTTTTGTCATGTGTTATTTTATGAATTTCTGTTACTGATATGACACATTTTTGCACAGAGATGGCTGTTTTCCACGAACCCCAAGGATATAGGTACTACAAAATCATTCCAAAACCTAGACTAAGTACATTACATGTAATTCATGAATGTATGAAGGCCATGGAGTGGAAGAGGAGGATTCGAACCCACGTGGAGATATAACCTTCAACAGATTTACAGTCTGTCGCTTTAACCACTTGGTCACTCTCCCGAAGAATTCAGCATCCTAGAGACGTGAAAACACCCAATCCCATTCCGACCTCGATCCGTGAAATCGTCTTACGCCATATGTACTCATTTATTTTGGGAGACCTGGTTCAAGCGTGGACCTATCAATTTCTTGTACACAGGACTTCCCTTGGGATTGATCCATCCAAGTAATGTAAATGAATGTTTTCCCGATATAAGCTGGATGCACAACAAAGACGCATGTGGC